AAACTTTAGACTCTCATCAGCGGTCAATGAATCATTCTCAACTTATGAATTAAATATGTGATAATATTTCTTTTCAAATTCTTTCAAAAGAAAATTTAGTGTTGTTATATGTGATAATTTTATTATTTGTCATATTTATTAGTGGAAAGAAGGTTGCTTATGAAGCAATTATTGATGATTTGCTTCACATTTTTCTACGAGGAACATTTTTAAGTAATGTTTTTTCTTTTTATTCGATACTCGTATTGTTACTTTTTTCCAAATATTCAACTTAAACAATAATAAAATGATTCTTGCCTTTATTTTATGAGCTTCTTTATCCAAATATGGTTTACTGTTTGTCATGGATATAAACCCAAAATAACGTACCGCTCATAGGCCCAGAAATGGACATGACCGACCCTGCATAAATCATTGATGATAAGAAAAGACAATTGCAGATAATTAATATATCAAAAAATGATAAAATCTATGAGAATCCATGACTTTAAATGTTGATAAGAATGAATGAAAGTCTGAATAGGCTTAAACTTTTTTAGACACTTATACACCTAGATTTTTTTTAGATTTATTAATTCATGACTTTTACTTGGTAAAATTTTGCAATTAATTCCTATTCCGATTACAATACACCCTTTCTTTAACCGCCTTAGGGCGTTACGGAGCATTATAAATTTATAACCGAGGCGGCCGCTTGCTCCGCAATTATAACCCTACACTTCTACAGTGTGTAACTGCTGACGCCGCCACGTCTTTCTTTTCTTTTTCAGTTCTTCAAAATTTGAACTTTCATTCAAGAATGGAGTGACCCGCAATATGACGGTTGCAATTCACTCAGTTGTGTAGGGTTTTGTTTATTTTTCTCTTTTCTACTTCTAGAGCATCTGTTAGCAAGGGCCTCTATTCTCAATCAACTCCATCTCTTCTTCGACATTCTCCTCTAAAGCTTCGGTAAGTATTTTATTTAGTTTTTTTGTTTCCGCTTTATATATTTATTGCATTTATTTTCTTCAAGCGTTGCTATTTTGTTCCTTTCTCCAGTGTTATGTAAATTTTCTATGGGATTTCCTCTTTTATGTTGGACTCTTAAAGCTCGAAAGTCATGCATTCACTGTGTATTGCATTCGGTGCTTTATTCTTTCTCCCTGTTATTACTAAGGTGGTTGTCGATTTTAGTAATAAATTGGTCAATTTGTGCCGGTTTCGGTAATATGTGTGTTTATTTATGTGAATGTTGGGCGTATATAGTTATTTCTTCAAGGGGTGTTCATTATTCACTTGAATAGTTGTCTTCTTCAACTCTCGCATTCCAGTTCTATCGAAAGAACAATTGGGATTCTAGTGAAAGAAATTATCAATGCTTTTTCTTGCTCTTGTTCAGGGAATTAAAGTTTGTTTGTTGTTTATAGATTTTTATGATGCACTCTGCACTGCTTGTGCTGATAATATGGAAACAAACTAATTTGATGTCTGGCTCCGCTTGCGCCATAGACGTTGGAGTCGGGTTTTTTATGTGTCTTAGCAGAAAGCAGTCCCAATCGACGAGTCTCTGGAAGAGATCGTGTGATTTCAATGACAATGGCGACTCTTATTGTGCAATTCAACCGAATTTCAAGCGCACAAAGTTAGATGAAAAAAAAATCTCCTAACTGTAATGCCGTCAAACTTGGAAGCTGCCTGAGTATTGCTCAGAGCATTTTTTATATGAAGACTTGTAGCTCTAGTAGCTATTATAAAAAACACAGGGAATTCAGCGACAGTGAGCAGAGATATGCATTGAAGGAAAAATCAAATAATGTTACTGAAATTGGAGTTCCTTCAAAGCATGGTTTGTGTGAAAGGCGACCTTCGATGGCATGCGGGGGGGGGGGGGGGGGGGGATTCTTTTCAAGAAGGTGATGCCATGAAAAAGTGTATGGTTACGATGAAAGTACAGAATAGAGTATTACAGGGTAATGCACCCAAGATTCCTCCAAGTCAGTTTCAACATGGATGTCACTCTGTAATTGATGAAATAGATTCTCATGATTCTTTATTGAGGGACCATCATTCACAAAGGCTTGATTCAAAGTACTCTTTTGAAAACAATGCTACTGTTGAGCATCCAAGCACGCAAGTTGCAAATTTTGAAGAGGGCTTGCTGTTCGGTGATAAAGTCTTGAATATGTCAGGACAGTCCAGGGTATCAACCGATCAGACTTCTTACAAAGATGAAGACCATTGTCGTTTGTTCTACTATGTTCCCGATTATGGGGTATCTGTTGAGTACCATATTCAGAAACCAAAACAATCTAAAAACTGCATATATCTTATTTCTGATAGATACAATGTGGAGAATCCCGCAGACGTGTGGAACAAGCCTTAAAGCATTTCTGGGATGCGTACCATAGACATTTGCAAGCATACAAAGCAGAGAGGCATGACCATGTAATAGTTAGTCATAGGACGTATGTAAAGGCAGCAGTGGATCTTAGGTCTACGAAAAAGTGGGTGAATTCTGAAAAGTTCTATGTTGGCCATGTTCCTGGATCAGAAATTGGCGATAAATTCCAGTTTAGAGCTGAACTTGTTGTAGTAGGCCTTCATCGCCAATTTGTGCATGACATAAATTATGTGAAAATCCAAGGGAAGAACTTTGCAGTTAGCATAGTCGATTCCATCCGTTATGATAACCAGATTATATCACGAAACAGATTCATATATGTTGGTCACGGTGGAAATCCAAAACTTTATGGCAATGTTCCGAAGGATAAAAAACTGATTCGTGGCAATCTTGCCCTGAAAAATAGCAAGGAAAAAGGTGTACCTGTAAGGGTTATCCGAGGTAATGACGTGTACGTATATGAGGGCCTATTACGGGTGACCAGGTGTTGGGAAGAAAGAGAGGACTATGGCAAAATGGCATTCAAGTTCGAGCTCCATAGAATCTCAGACCACCCAACACCAAGTCAAGAAAAGTCAACACGGAACGCATTGTGGTCAAGGACCTTTCTCAGGGTAGAGAGAATTTCACCCTACCCATGTTTAGTGATTTATATGACGAAACACCGTCGCCTTTCAGTTACATGACAAGCATTAGATATCCTGACTGGTATCATCCGTCAGCCCCACCTGGTTGTATCTGCGAAAATGGGTGCTCAGATTCTATTAGTTGCTATTGTGCAGTTAAAAACGAAGGTAGCATCTCGTTCAACAACCAGGGATCTATTAGCAATATTAACTCAAAACCTTTTATCTATGAGTGTGGCCCGTCCTGCAAATGCCCAAGGTCGTGCAGAAACAGAGTTAGCCAAAGAGGCCGTCGGTATCAGCTGGAGGTCTTCAGAAAAGGATCGGATGGTGGGGGATGGGGGGTAAGGTCGCGGGATTACATTTCAGCCGGGAGCTTCATTTGTGAGCTTGTTGGAGAGTTGGTTGAAGATGACTCTAATAGAAAAGGATTTGGTTACAGAATTGATGGGAGTGGTTTCAGAAACGACACGGAGCGTTATGGAAACGTGGGGAGATTTATCAAATGTGGCCTGGTAGCGAACATTTACGCACAGAATGTTGTGTACGATGATGATTACGATATTGTTCCTCATGTAATGTTCTTTGCTTCTAAGAGCATTCCACCAGGGCGTGAACTTATACGCCCAGCTTAAAGTCTACATAGAGTCATAGAGAGTCCTGCACGGCTTATTAGCACTAACCAATCAGTTCATAGGAAATCCTCTTTCCACCGACTGACCTAACAAACCTTGGATTATGAGATGGGAAAACGGAAAAATGATTTGGGTTCCAAAGTGGTTACTTGTAGTGTTTGTGTAGGCAATGTAGCATTACTGCATTATCCTTGTGAGATTGTAGATTCTTCTTTTGACCTCTTCTCTAGTCAATTTAGCTTCTTTTGACTTACAGGTAACCTGCTTTCTTTGCTCTTTTCTTCTACGTTTTGAAATTACAAAAATGTCTTGCAAGCAGTTATGTTGGTTACTTGGTTTGATGGATGAGAGTAATTCTTGAATGGGTAATGCTTCGTAGTTCATACACCATGTGTTAATGTGCATAAATTTTTAAGATTTATTTCTTTGGAATTTTATCCATCTAGGACATAAAAAATAAATGAAATATCAACTCAGGATCTAAAAGATAAAATGTATAGGTATAAGGTTCAAATTGTCGAAAACTATCAATCTAGGACCTAAAATTCCATATATATGATATGATTTGATTTTTTTAATTTTTTTAATTGCATTGCTATTTTCCCCCCGGAAACAGTTTTGTGCTTTAGTAAATGAATAATGCTGTGTACATGGGATGCCCCTTACCCTATCGTAGATGCGAGTCTTTGCGGCATTGGGGTACAAATGATGATGATGATGATGATTTTTGACGAAAATTTCTTCACAAAGATTTATTAGTTTAATAATAAAATTAATAGAAATTGTTCTAAATAGGAGCAAAAACGTTTTCAAATTCCAAAATAGGAGTATCACGTTTTTTATTTCTTGAATAGGAGTAATCTGTCAAGTTTGGAAAAAATGTCATGTTTAAAGCCTAGTAATGCCAAACTTGGCAGAAATTTACTCATATTCAAGGAATAAAAAACACGATAGTCCTATTTTGGAATTTTAAAACTTTTTTACTCCTATTTAGAGAATTCTCTTTAAAATTAAATATGTAGAAATTTTTAAAACTAAAAATAAAAATATACTGTATTAAATGTCACGACAACTAAGTCATAGATTGATAATTTGCAATCAACCGGACTCTGTTATATTGATCTTTCAGGTTGTTAATTGATAAAGTTTCTTATTTTTTTTATTTATGTATACACGCACACAATAAATGTTGGAAGGGTAAATTATAAATACGAGTAGTAATTATTATTGAAGTAATAATATTCTAAAAAAGTGGTACTAGCAACGGTAAAACCGTTTGTCACTGATTTCGGCATCTCATTCTCTCCATTAATCATATTAATTACGTTTATAATCATATGATTATCCACCCTTGCGTAATTACTGAAGAGAGAGGGGTATTGGGAAGATGTATAGATCAGGAAGCGCTAATAGAGTATGGGATGATTACGTGAAGTACGATTCATCTTCTTCTTCATCGAAACATTCTCTTGCAATTATTAAAGGTTTGTCTCTAGAAACAAACAATGTTGAATTCAATGAGCCGCCAATATCCTCCGATCACGCGGCCAAGAAAGAAAGGGCTCGTACAAAGCTTGCTGAGAATGCCGTCCATTTAATCCCTTTGGTTCTCTTCCTTTGTGCTTTCGTTCTTTGGTTTATATCCAATCCCGGTAATTAACTTGTTCTCTTATAAATAGTCTCACATAAAACCAAAATAATCTCAAAGAAGGGCATTAATCTCAAGGAAAATTGCTCTAAATAGGAGTAAAAACGTTTGTGTTTTCCGAAATATGATTGTATGTTTTATTACATAAATAAGAGTAATTATTGTCATGTTTTTACAGTACTAGACTTTGAACATGACAATGTTTTCTTTGTTTGACAGTAATTATTTCTATTTATAGATAAAAAGAATCCTATTTTAAAATTTCTAAACGTTTGTACTCCCATTTCAAAAAATTTTCCCAATCACAATACTCGTTTTTGAGAAAATGGTGATAAAAGACCACCTAAATAATAAGTCAATTAAATCTGATATCAACCATTTGGTGTACATTATTTGGATTGATGCTTTCCTTGTGATTATATTTTGGTGTTACATAGACTAGATCAAATTATATTAGATTTAGGCTACGCAAAATATGAATATGTCAGATCTTATGGAATAGCATGGATTGATCGATGATTTTGTGCCAAATAGTTCATGTTAAAATGTTCTGGCGCACATTTGACATATCTGTATCAAATCTTTTATGAATTTTGGTGAATTCCGACAATTTTTTTTTGCCAATATCATGGAGCACAAAAAACAGGTTGATAAGCCTGAAAATGCTTAAAAATCTCCAAACACCAACCAAATTGGCTACTTGAGCTGATTTTTCTTATCGGTTGAAAAAACAAGCGAAATGCTACTTTTCCAGGTGATATTTATTATTCCACTGTTGGCAATGGTTAAGACCCTTTACCCCAGCACGGCTATAGAGATCAATGCAAGATTATCATTTAGCTAGCTTCTATAGGAAGAATACCCAACGACAGAATATTGATCTGAAGAATCATTACATATCAACTGCATATGATAATGATTCATATTGGAAGATTACCCAACCCCATATCAGAATTTTTCTCAAACCCTTCAGCTGAAAACCGGCTTGCTCACTCTTGCTTTCCCTTCTATTAATATGCAATTTCTTTATTTTGGTCGAGGAAATCTCAATTTCCAGATTTTCTATTCAGAATCTCAGAATCTTACCTCTCGAATATCATTCATATATGATTTTCTTTTCTGTTCTTATGTTTTAAATTGACCTGGTTTTTTGTCAAGCTCTTCGTTTTGTGGTGGTAGAGGTTTGGTGAAATTTTTCTAGATTTTTTTTTGTAAAAAAATTCCGTTTTTAGTATTGGAAAGACCCTGACTATGGAAAATTTGGCCATATATCACTTATGTACATAGTATGTTGACTTGTTTAGTTTTTTTTAAAGAAGTCAAACTACATATTATTGATCAAATCAAAGTTTAGGGAGTGCAGAATACAATATGGAGGTGTGGTATGCCACACATAGCAATCAGACATAGAAATGGTTGCCCTCGCTAATTCGTGAGCAACCCGATTCGCTGACCGCTTCACATGAGAAATAGAAATACTAGTGAAACTAGTCATAATATCTCTTACATCATCGATAATGACCCCGAAGAATGATTCATCTGAACTATCCTGAATACTCTTAATAACCTGGGTAGCGTCACATTCCACGTCAATAAAATCAAAGCCATAGTCCCTAAGCCAACTAATGGCCTCCCTTATCGCAAGGGCTTCAGCTTCGCGAGGTTGGCAAACTCCGGGTCTTTTCTTTATTCCCCCGACAATAAAAGAACCTGTATAGTCCCTTACCACCGAACCCAACCCGCTGCAGTCCCCCTCTACCTTCACCGCAGCGTCCACGTTGACCTTTAAACGACCTTCTCTCGGTTTAATCCAATGATTGGGAGATGCTGCAATTCTTCCTGCTACTGAGGCTGTCATTTGAGCTCTTCTCCATCCATCAGGGAAAGCATCAGCCACTGCAATAATACTCCCTACACCAGCAGGAGACTTCTTCCACAATACCTCATTTCTAGCCTGCCATATGCTCCATAAAAGCATCAAAAACCTGCAGCATATTTCCTCCTGTTGCACCATGATAAAAGCTTATGCCCATTCAGTTATGGAATGATATTCATCAACATTTACAGTCCAATTTATTTTCTCCCAAACCTTTTTCGCCACCACACATGATCCGAACACATGAAGTGTTGATTCTCTGTCTTGAGCACAAAGAACACATCCCTGGGAACAAGCCACCTTCTTCATTAACAATTTATCTGATGTAGGTAAACAATCCGTACATAGTTGCCAGAAGAAAACTTTAACCTTTGGTGGAATATTAAAGTTCCACATTCGGGTCCATCTTACTCTCTCTCCCGGTCTCATCCCACCAGTTAACAACCGATAACAACTTTTAACTGTATACCTCCCTTTTTCCCCTAAGGCCATATAATTTTATCTGGAACAACTCTTTTACTTACTGGTATACTCAATATCAGTTTACTATCTCTTTTGTCAAAGAAATCATTTACCACATCAACATCCCAGCCCCCTTCTCTATTCAGAAAACCAGCAACTACTATCTCCTCCATACCAGGTACTGGTGCAGCAGTTACTTTCGGGTTATCCATGTCTGGTAACCAAGGATCCCTCCATACATTAATTAGTTTTCCATCCCCAACCCGGCCTCCACCTATACCCACCTTCAATCACAGCTCGAGCTTCCCACACACTCCTCCAGACATAGGAAGGGTGGCTACCCAATTTAGCGTGAAGAAACGATGAGTTAGGGAAATACCTCGCCTGGAAAATTCTTGCCAGTAGAGAATCAGGCTGTGTGAATAGCTTCCATGCTTGCTTCCCAAGCATTGCCAAGTTAAACTTTCGTAGTCTTCTAAAGCCCAGACCTCCTTTCGCTTTGGGTGAACATAACCCGCTCCACTCTCTCCATCTAATCCCCTTTCTTTCCGGCCCGTTCCACCAGTATCCGTTCATGAGCCTCTCAATCTCTGAGCACATTTCTAGCGTAAAAAGGAAAACATTCATCGCATGGGCTGGCATGGCCTGAATGATAGTCTTAATAAGTATTTCCCGCCCCGCTCTAGAAAGGTACCTATGGCTTCAGCTGATGATTTTTTCACTATTCGCTCCTTTATAAAGCCCAACACTTCTTTCTTGCTTCTGCCAACTAAAGATGGCAGTCCAAGATACTTTGCTCCATCTTCAATAAGCTTAACCCCTAGCATCTCAATGAAACCTTGTCGGACATCAGCATGTACATTGGAGCTAAAAGAAATTGTTGACTTTATAAAATTAATCGTTTGCCCCCAAGCCCTTTCATAATCATGTAATACCTCTTTGATCACAGACCCTTCATCATGAGACGCTTTAAAAAAGAGGAAGCTATCATCCGCAAATAAGAGGTGAGAAACACGTGGTGCCCCTCTTGCCACTGATATACCGTGCAATCTGCCCAACAGTTCCTCTCTTCTCAACCGAGCACTGAGACCCTCCGCGATAATAATAAACAAATAGGGAGATAGTGGGTCCCCTTGACGAATCCCCCTCCCCGGATAAATAGGGCCTAACTCTCTATCATCGAAAGGAATTGAGTATGTCACTGTCCTTACGGTTTCCATTACTACATCAACCCAGTTATCTGCAAACCCGAGCCTGCGTAACATTGCCTCTAAGAAGTCCCAATCGACTCTATCGTAGGCTTTGCTCATGTCGAGCTTTAAATCCGCATAGCCCACCTTCCCTTGCCTTTTCCATTTCAGGAAATGGTGCGACTCGAAGGCGATCATGATCTTATCGATAATGGATCGCCCGGGGATGAAAACACTCTGATTGGGAGATATGAAGCCATCCAGTAAATGTTTCAGTCTATTGGCCAACACCTTAGAGAAAACCTTGTACACCACATTGCATAGGGAAATGGGTCTCCAGTCCGCAACATTTTCTGGTTTATCCTTCTTTGGAATCAGCACGATATGTGTATGATTCACCTTTTCTGGCAGTTTCTTTGTCTGAAATGAGCGCCTACAGAATTATGTTATGTTTGCCCTGACCACGTCCCAAAAGTGTTGGAAAAACCCGGGGATCATCCCATCCCGCCCAAGAGATTTATCTGGATGCATGGAAAAAGAGCTTCTTTCACCTCGTCCATTTTAATAGGCTGCATGAGTTGAACATTCTGCTCCTCACTAACTTTCTGCTCAACACAATATAAGATCGGATCTGGGTAGCCCTGCAAAGAAGAAAATAGATTAGAAAAATAGTCTTCCATCATCCTTCCCACCTCAATCCTGTCCATCTCCCATCGACCCCCCTCCGATCGAAGCCCTTCCACTCTGTTTTTCCTCCTTCTAATTTTAACTGAGCTATGAATTTTTTTTGTATTAGTATCACCTTCCCTCAACCAAAACTCCTTTGCACGTTGTTTCCAAAAATAGTGTTGTATCTCTAATAGTTCAAGATATTCTATCTTTACTTTTGTAAATTCAGCAACACTAAATACATCTCCCCTACTTCTTAGAAAATTTAATCTTTTCTTGCAAAATTCTATTCTCCCTCCCAGCCCTTTATTCTTCTTAAGGCCCCATCTACCCACCTCTCTTCCGCATAACTCCACCTGCTTTACCACTCCTAACCCTCGCCCAAAACTCCAACTCTTCTCCACCACTTCCTTGCAATCTTCTTCCCTCAACCAACTATTCTCGAATTTAAATTTCCTCCTCTTGTTCACTACTGCTCCTTTCTCTAATTTAATATACAACATTAGATGATCGCTTGGCGCCCCTTCTAATGATGTAGCCTTGGCCCCATCAAAGCTAACCTCCCAATTATCAGAAACTAAAATCCGGTCCAGCTTCTCTTCAACCCACCAACTCGTACCTCTCCAACGCTCCCACGTATATTGATAACCACTAAAAGGGAAGTTGTGCAGGCCGCAAGCCCAACAGCTTCTCGGAAACCACTCAAGATCCATGGTGGATGAGGAACCCTACCCCGTTTCTCACTCTGCAACATTAAATCGTTAAAATCACCCATGACGAGCCAAGGTACAGAAGACTTGGAACTAAGATAACGCATGATATTCCATGACTCCCTTCTCCTTGAGCGTTCTGGACAACCATAGAAACCGGTGAACCGCCATTGAGGATCTCCTGGCTCTAATCTAACATGGGCATCAATGAAATTGGCTGAAGAGCCTATCACCTCAACCTCCACCCCCACAGACCATAGAAGAGCTAAGCCACCTCCGTGACCTAAACATTCCACCACAAATGAATGTGAGAACCCCAAACGTCTTTGAACCTCTACTATTCTGGTACTATTCGAAAAAGTCTCCATAAGAAAGATTAAAGAAGGCCTCTTAGAGCGAACGACGTCCACCAAAACTTGAACTGTCGACTTGTTGCCAAGCCCTCGACAGTTCCAACTCAGGAAACTCATGGTCCTTGGTGGGTCTGCATAGCAAAACCCGCCCCCAGTCCGTTTTTTGACCCATCTTGATATTCTGCGAGCTTACCTCCCTCCACACCTTCTCCCCCATTTACCTCAGTTCTTCTGCGTTTTCCAGCCATGTCGGGTGTGTCTTCTCCTAGTGGAATCACCTCTGTTGACACCTCCAATCCTTTTTGACCCGCCATCTCACCACCCATCTTGTCCCTATCTCCCTCCTTTGACCATATACCCTGCTGCCCAGCACTCCCTCCATCTTCTTTCTTACCCCAACCCCTTTCTGACTTCCTCCTGGCCACCTTTTATCTGACTCCTTTTCCCCATTGTCTGGAACTAACCAAGGACTACCCGTACTCTCAGGAATCCTCCTCCCACCCGCCTTCAGCCATAATCCATAAGGTTTCTCCTTAGTCTCCCAACCCCCTCCACATGGACAGGACAATAACGATCAGTATGGCCCATGCGTCCACAAATGAAACAAAAAGCTGGCAGCCTTTCATATTTAAAATTAACCTCAACAAATTTATCTCCCTTTTTTAAATTCATACAGCATTTTAGAGGAGCAGTAACATCAAGAAGAATGCGGATACGCATAAATACCTTCACAGTCCCTTGGAAGTTCTTCTCATCTGCCTTCACGAATTTTCCAACTTTATTGCCGATCAATTCTGCTACCTTCAACGTCATCAGACTTAGCGGTATGTTATGAACTTGAACCCAGAACTCTGCTTGAGACTGTTGGCATTGCAACGGATTTTCCAGAGGGCCTAGACGATGCATTATGACGAGGTTACGATCAAAAGACCAAGGACCGTCATTGATAATTCTTGAGATGTTTGCTTCATGGTAAAACTGGAACAAATAGCGTTGTCCTCCCAGGTCTTTTATTGTTACCCCTTTGTCTGGTCGCCATAGACTCGCCATTGTATCCTTAAAATAGGCAAACTTCACTTGTTTGTCTGTCAGAACTCTTCCAACTGCAGCTAGAGAGCAATTGGAGTCTTTAATAGCTGACAACTTCGACGTCCAATACATCATCCTCTTCTTCTGTTAAAGACAACTTCAAATACAAATCATGTATAGATGTCGAAGAAGATGCCATGAATCTTACGAACAGATTGTACTGATGATCAGAAAAGCCTTCGAAAGAGACGACGGAGACTGCTAAACCCTAGATGCCTAGGGAGGAAATCTATGTATCTGGAACAATTATATTTATCACAACATTGATTTATTTGCAAGTTTGTAGCAATGTGATCCTTTTAATACTTTTGAATATGACTTGTTTAGTTTTCACGCAGAAAGGATGTACAATAATTTTAAGGAAAACAATAACATATATCATAGTTTAATAACCTTTATGGTAATTTTACATTCAATCAATTATTTCAGCCAATATATTACCAAACACTTTCACCTCAGCAAATTCAGTATTTTCAGTCTTTTCAGCCATTGCAGTCGCTACCAAATAGGCCCCATGTTTTTAGTGTTATGTGTATCAAACTTAATCAAATCAAATCATATTGTATCGGATGATTCCCATCTGAGTGAAAAGATCCTAACTTCTATACATGTTTTCCATGTATGTTTATATAATTTGTGAATTATGTATGTGCACCGGTGGGCGTAGCTCAACTGGTAGCGAGAGAGTGCCAAAAGGGTTAGGTCTCGGGTTCGAATCCCGGCAACTGCGATGAGAGGTTACTATGCTGAAAAAATGCATAGTATCTCTGCAAGTATCGGAGACAGAGCCTCACTCTCTATCCTCAGGTATGGGGTGTCATCCTTTTTTTGAATTATGTATGTGCAGATATTGAAGTTCCGATTGGTGGGGATGCGGTGGCGGCGAGAATAGAGGGAATGACGATAGAAGGTGACATGGATAGTAGTGATGGTACACAAACAGGGAATTTGCCACTGGAATTATTGAATGAGATTGATACGACCACAAAAAATCAAAATAGAAATTACCGCCCATGAGACTATAATAATGGTATGATTCTAAGAATGGATCATTTTTGGAGTTCATGCAATCATGCGTCTTTGAAATGATCATTTTAGTTACAGAATTATTATATATTACTATGGATTGTAAATTAATAGATATAGATATTTGGGCAATCATTTTTTTTTACTTTCCATATCATTTTCTTCTAGCAAAATCACATGAAGATCAAATCATTAGTGATTTTATTAAGAATTTTCTAATTGTTCAGGAAGTTTTGACAGTTCAATTTCTAAGTATTGTAGCTCCATTTCTAATATATCTAAATAAATCGAAGTTTCCATATGTACTGTACTCTATCGGTGTATATATGTCATGGGTGATTAAATCAAATTAAATGGTACAATCATGCCGACTAAGAAGTTGTTCCCTTCGTCTGATCTCAATGTTTTTTATCTGAATTTTTTAAGATCTGATCTAATTTAATCTGATCTGAATTTTTCTAAGGATCTGCGAGAAATTGTTTTGACCATTTTAGTAAGGGCCTGCGAAAAATTGTTCATGAACGTCTGGCTCTAAGTGTGTAAACAAAATGAATCAAAGTGAATACTATACATTATTGGTTCATATATATTATTGAATATTGTATCCATATTTATCTAATAACCAGATCTTATTTTCTATTGGTATTTGCTTCGGTTGGTCTCTGTTCAAATATTTGAATCCGAAAAGAATTGAATGCCACCTACGAAAATATTTGAATCCGAAAATATTCAGAATTTAGTATTACTGTATTAGATTATGAGGGCAAGAGATAGATGTTTTGTTTTGAACTAAAATTTACTAGTCTCAATAGATCTAATTTGGTTTGTTCTGAATTGGTCTGGTTCAGTAAATGTCTAGTCTTTGTGTCTTTTATAATTGTTTTAGTCTTGTTTGGTCTGGTTTGATTTGTTTAATCATTCACATATTCAAGTATCTTTATCATCTGTTTTGTATACTACCACGAAGAGCCCGTTTGGTAACACCAAAATCGGTTTATTCAGTTGATTCTGCTGAAATTTATGAAGTTCTAGCTGAAGTGGCTGCATTGACTGATTCTGTTGATCTAAGAAAATATATCTAAAAATAGTTAAAATGGTTATATACAGTAACTTCAGCCAATACAGCCAGAAAAGTAACTCCAACCTTACTTTTTTTTTATTATTACACAATTCAACGCGCGAAAACAAAAGTTACGTGTTTAGTGAAAACTTGGCTGATAAATATGATAATCCGAAAAACAGTGTTACTGAACGGCCTCTAAATATTTGTAACACCAAATCATTCTTACGTATGTAGTATTGTTTTTAATTTGGTTAAAACCACATAATTTCCTTATGGTAGAGCCACATATTTGTAACTACAGCCACATTATAATTGATGTAGTATTTCATTTTCGATCAAATTTGTCCTTCTTTCTTATAATCTCATCATATCGATCGTGATTTGGATGTATGACTGGATGTATGACTTGATTATGCAAATAGACAAATTAGAAATATATCAACTTATCAAGCCCAATCGTTGGTTAACCCTTCCGTAAAATGGTCAAATCCTTACAAAAATCATGTAACGACTCTTGAAGTTTTTTGTAATTCTAGTAAAACAAAATTGAACTACTTACTGTCTACTAATTAAATGAAATGAGAGCCCGTTTGGTAGCATTCAAATTGGCTGAATTGGCTGATTTTGCTGAAATTTAAGAAGTTCTGGCCGAAGTGTCTGTATTGGCTGATTCTGCTGATTCATGAAAAAATTATATTTAAAAAATTTGTTCTTAATAAATTAAATAAAAAATTATATGAAAAATAGCTAAAATGATCCTCTTCAGTAACTTCAGTCAAAACAGCCAAAAAATTAACTACAACCTTACTTTTTCTGCTTATTACAAACTTTAACGCGCGAAATCAAAATTACGTGTTTGTTGAAAAAGTTGGCTGACAAGCCTGATAAGCCGGAAAAAGGGGGTCACCAAACGGGTTCGTAAATTCAAATTGAGCTTTTCGGCGTCCAAAATGGCTACAAACGGAAAGAGAATGACTTAATTTTGACACCAAACCAGTGGAGCAGTCATTATTTTCTTTGTAGATCCCTAATATTACTACCTCCGTTCCAAATTGAATTGCAAATTTGACTTTTCTTGATCAAACATTTGCATTTTATTTGCTTAATTAATTAGGATGTCAATTTTTAATTATATTCTAATTTGGAGTTTGCAACTTTGAAGAGATTTTAATGTAGTTTCTAAATATATAAATTTTAATTATTAAAAATTGAATTAATTATTAATAGGGAGCATTGACTTTTTTTATTGGTTGACAAAAAAATGTTGACTTTGCAAAATAATTTGGGACGGAGGGAGTATTATATTCTTGGAGTCAACCAATGATATACAAAGTAATTTTATACGAGTAGGTTATTACTTAACGAGTATATATAACATAAAGGTGATATGAAAACGTTCATGGTATATTGGTTCCACCAGCTTGTATTAAATACTCCGTATCAATTTACATTGTCCCCATTTACTGTCCGATTCGTGTTGGGACTTTCGAACATTAGTGTCATTTTTTTTAAAATGTTATTTGTTTAAAATTCTTTTACAATATATAAATTTAAAATGTTCTTAATATTGTACTCGCTCCATCTCCCAATTAAGTTCCTAGTTTGACATTTACCGGTTTCTAGGTAGACGTTTGACCCTAAACATCTAACAATCTATACCTATAAAATCTAATACTCCGTAAAAATTAATATATGAATAATATATACTCCAATAAAGCATATAAAATTAAATTTGTATTATAGAGTAATACGGAGTATAACATCATTTTTTAGGTATCATGCTTGTCCCAAACCAGGATAAAGGAGGAGGGTGTTGTGGTAGGCGCAAGACGGTCAACAGTATCATTTAGTCACATCACATGACATGAATCAAAATATGAATATTACTAACAGAGTAACAGCTAGGTCATAAAACATAAAACTCTTTTACAAAAATATAAACATAAAACGTTCTTAATATTGTACTAGCTTTGTCTCCCAATTAAGTTCCTAGTTTGACATTTACTGACTTCTAGGTGGACGTTTGACCCAAACATCTAAGAATCTATACATATAAAAACTAGTATAAATTGATATATGAATAATATATGAGAGAATTCCCTAAATAGAAGTAAAAAAATTTTGAAATTCCAAAATATGAGTATCATGTTTTTTATTCCTTGAATAGGAGTAAATTTCTGAAATTCCAAAATATGAGTATCATGTTTTTTATTCCTTGAATAGGAGTAAATTTCTGTCAAGTTTGGCATTAATAGGCTTTAAAACATGGCATTTTTTTCCAAACTTGGCAGATTACTCATATTTAGGAATAAAAAACATTATACTCCTATTTTGGAATTTCAAAACATTTTTGCTCCTATTTAGAGCAATTTCTAATAACATATATATATACACTCCAATGAAGTATATAAAATTAATTTTGATGAAGGAAATTCTATGTTATGTGCTATCGTTTAGATAGAATATGTATTAGGGCTTTTCTATGTAAATGATGTATTATGGGCCTATTGGTCCGTGCTTGTAAACCTTACTCTATCCCTATTTATAGGGACTTTCGGTAATAAAACTCTATGCTCAATTCTCCCTACAACACGTTATCGGCACGAGCCCTAACCCTAACTCCACTTCTGCCCGGTTCTTGTTTTCCGTGGCACTTGTTTTGGAATTCTTTCCCAGGCATCTTCATCTCCTACGCCATCCCCTTCGAAGCTTGCCTCCACCGATTGGTGAAAGTCGCCACCCTTGTGAAGCTTGCCGCCTTCTTAATTGCTTGCTGAAGTTCGCACTCACTGGATTTACCGGCTAAGGTAGACGCCTCATCGGCCTGTTGGATCTGCTACTACAGGCCCTCATCGCTGGAAGATCGTTGCTGGTAGCATGCCTCCCGCCGCCACCGGTGATGCTTACCTCTAGTCGATTGTGGCAGGGCTTACCTCCAGCCTCCAGGTATTCTTAAATACGTACCTAGTCTCTTTTCTACGCAGTATCGAATGACAATGGCATAATGCTATTTCTATCTGTTTGAAGTTTTATACCGATTTAATAGTAGCATTTAATCTTTCTAACTCCTTGATGAAATCAATTGAGATTGATAACCTCAACACAAGCGGTTTCGGTTTAACCAACAAAATTAATCCCTCTTAAGTTTATTAACCACGACCGTGCATTAATAAACCGAAGTTACTTACTAGTGAAACCATCAACGATTAACCATCGGTTCGTTGATCGTTTCTAGTAATAATTAATATATGAAACAAAACTAGTTGATCCTTTAAGTAATGTTCAAAATATTAATAAGAAATAAGAGTAGGAATTAATTAATATTCAAGAAAGAATATTATTAATGAAGATGAATCCTACTATAATTAATATCAAGATGTTAACTAATTGTCATCTTAGCAACACTCCTCAATATTAATATAGAGGAAGAAAATACCATTCTAACTAATGTCGAGATGTTAACTAATTGTCATCTTAGCAACACTCCCCAACATTAATATAGAGATGGTATTAAGGAAAGAACTATTAATTAATATTCAAGGAAAGAAGTTTAAGAAAATAACTCACAACTTTAATAATCAACAAGCTTCAAGAGCAACACCAAGAATGGAAGATTAGCTCCTCATTTGGAGGCTAAACAAAGCTAGAAAAATATAAAGAAAGGCTATTCTAAACTGAGTTAAAGAGTTTGGAAGAAGGGATTCTTTTTTGTGAAGAAAAAGTGTGCTATTTATAGGTGTTTTTCAACACCTTTGGCCGGGTACCCGACCGGGTCAAGTACTTACCCGACCGGATCCGGTCAAAATCAGATAATTCGCCACGTTCTGGTGATCTTCGCACGTCGTTTTGTCCCGGGTCACATCTGACCCGACCGGGTCAAGTAGGGGACCCGACCGGGTCCAGTGACTTTCTTGGCAATTTCGTCAGTTAAATCATACCAGACCGGGTGGGGGTTTCTACCCGGTCGGGTTTGACTCCTGGGCAGTCAAATTTCTTGTTTTCTTCTCTTCAAAGTCTTCCTTTCCGACACCACAAATCCTAACTATACTTTACAACTTATAAATGAGAATTAAAATACGATTACAACTAAAATCACACAAATGTTTACAAACTAAATAAAACGGTAAACAATACACACAAATCAATCATAAAAATATACATTTATGCACTACTGATTAGTGCATATCAAATACCCCCACACTTAAACCTTTACTCGTCTCGAGTAAATCAAATCCGGTCCAAAAAGTCCTTAAAATGA